CTCACTCACTGGTTGAGCGCGGTGTGCAACGGTCGCGGTACAGGCGCGACACCGAGGGTTGCGATCCCGTTGCGATCCCGTTACCAGTCAAGAAAAAAGACAAAAAGGAAAAAAAAAAAGTTTAGTAATTTTAGGAGGGAAGTGCTAAAAGTAAATTATCTGTTGCTAAGTACAACTGCTTAGTTAGCTTTCAAAAATTTAAGGAAAGAAATAACCACTTATGTGATAGTTTCTGTATGAATGAAAATTAAAATTGTACAAAAACATTACACACTAACACACAGTACATGGTCAAGAACTATGCTAATGAATACATATTATGACTATTCACAAACTTTAGAAGAAAATTATTGGAATTACATGCCTCCATAATACCGTAGACTATGATGACAATGGGTTAGTAAACACGTAAATGGTGAACCTTAAGGATGACACATCAAGGGCTAAATTTTATGACAATAAGATCCATGAGAATTATCTTAAGGTTTGTGCTGTTCATAATAACTTATACATTTCCTTCCTTGACGGTAATATTATATATCAAAATAAGTCTTTAGCTGAACCTCATAATCTATTAAGAAATTTTGTCTTCAATTTTCTCCTTTTATATATCTGGGGGGGGGGTCATCTTAGGAAATTAAGAATAACTCTAACATTAAATGTTTACACTTATATTAGTTTAGAAATTCCTTGAACTATTTATTTAAACCATTAATCAGAAGTAAACTTTTTCTCTCTTTTTGAAACACGTAAGGTTCGGTGGGGGGAACTATCATATTTTAAAACGTACATGATTAATTGTAACTGTACATCTACTCTATGCAATAAACACAGAATAGAATTCTCTAGATAAAAAAAGACTGGGTGGAAGCTGTTGAAGACATGAGCTCTGGAGTCAAAGCTATGAATATGGAAGCTAAATTCTGTTAAATTCATTAACCCTGGGACCTTGGACAAATTACTTACCTTCCGATTCTATTTATTCATCATAACAATGGGTATCATTTCTACCCTGAAGGGATTTTGTGAGGATGAGAGTGTGCACTTAATTTCTAAGAGAAGTTATTTTACCTTTCAACAACCTCTATCCACAAATAAGAAAAACTGGTCACTGAAATGTCAAATCATTCTGCTTGTAAAGTATAACTGAATCCTGAGGATACCAGAGTAAAAGCAAAGGACTTTGACTTTTCTGAGGTCATGAAGCATTCTGAATGTTGGGGAAAAGGAGGATAACATACATATGCAAAATCATTGCACACAATTTCAGGAAGTTTAGGACTCCTTAAAGATGCTATGGACCTAAAAAAAAACCAAAAACAAAAAACCAAAAAAATCCCAAGATAAAAAAAAAAGTGAATGCTGTATATCTTAACTACTCCCACCTTAATATAAACGAGAAAGAAAAAGATGAAAGAGAATAATCCTTCCCAGTTAAGATCACAAGGCCACCAAACAGAAAAACTCATTTCCCATAATGGGAGCAAAAGCTCCAATGACTAGTATTCAATTGTAGGTGCTGCTGGCAACTGCTACTTTGTCACCTTTGTCACTACAGGAACACTCAGAAAGCTTTCTTTCCTCTTTACTCTGGTAGCTTGGTGAAAACCAAACCACCATTGTCTTTAAGAAAAAAAAGCCTAATTCTATTTTCCAAATTAGTGACTTAATAAGGCAAATTCATCTATTATTTAAATTTAAAGACCATTTTTTTCATTTTTGTTACTTCATTTAAAGACTTCAAGAGTCACTTAAAACTTCTTATACTCTAATCGCTTTCAAATGTAAACTATTGAATTAACAATTGCCTAAATAAAATAAAGTCAAAGTCTAAAACAAACAAAATAAAAAATTTAGAACCTAAAAAGTAATTCATTCTAATTCTTGTCAATATGCATGTATTCGACTGCACTGAGGCAAGCTTTTAGTAGGTAGAAAATGAGTCTTATTTACAGCTTATACATGGTAACTACTCAGTAAATATTTATTGAATAGATAATATATCCTGAATTCCTGGAACAGGAATAAGAATGAAGACAGCTGAATATTAATCACAGGTATCTAGCATGCTTGCCACATAACAGACAAAAAAAAAAATATGTTGGATGAACAAACCAATGAGTGACTAATGAACGAACAAATAACGAAAGGAAAATATGACCTGAATAGATATTTTAGACAATTCAGATTTCAGATTTTCTGCCATATTAACAAGCCAGACACTCTTAAGTTTTTAGTTAAATAAATGTGAAATTAAGAACAAATTATCAAAGACAGTTTAAAGGTTTTCAGCTTGACATAAATATGAATGCTAAGAAGCTACACCAAAATTAACAAATTACTTGCCCCAAATCATACTGGCTATTGCTTTGATTCTTAATTGTTGAAACAGAAACCTGACTCAAACAAAGCTGACAGTCCGAAATTGAGTTCAAGACCCAAAAACCCAAAAACCAGTTACTCAAAAATGCACATTTTTTCCTATGCTGTTTTCCAGACCAAAAGAAAATCAAAATACCAACTAGGAATGAAAATGGAGAAACAAAGCTTCAGTGTCAAAATAGTTTATTTTAACTTTTTTTTTTTTAAAGCAAAGCCACAAAAAGTTAAGTACATAGAATACCACAGTTCAATAAAAAAATAGTCTACATTTATCCATTTTGTGCATAAAAATTGAGCTGCCAACCTCCACACTGGAGAAAAACCTGAAAAAGTCATGATGGGATTTAAATATGTTAACAATTCCAGGCTGGTTAACAAACTTGGGTATATACTTTCTAGTTCATATATTCCTTGGGATGAATTGTATCATATTGAGACTCATAGAAACTATACCAGGGTGGTTAAGAGTTTTCTTTAGGGGGCCAGCCCCGTGACTCACTTGGGAGAGTGCAGGGCTGATAGCGCCGAGGCCACGGGTTCGGATCCTATATAAGGATGGCCAGTGCACTCACTGGCTGACTGTGGTGCAGACAACACTGTGCCGAGTGTTGCAATCCCCATACCAGTCAGAAAAAAAAAAAAAAAAAAGAATTTTCTTTAGGTATACTGGAATCATACTACAAATATAACACTTAGGCAAGTTATTAAGACTATCTTTGACTCTGTGTCACCTTACCTAAAATGCAAAGAACGATACACCTACCTCAAAAGATTTACATGAGATGACATATGTATGTAAAACCTGGCACCGAGTAACTGCTTAGTAGTAGCTTCCCAGTGGCACTAGGATTTCATTACTGGGATAAAACATACATGCATGGTATAGTAAATGTTCAATAAATAAAAAAGAAAATTACATTAAGAAATTTTGAATGACTGGGCAGTTGTGCAAATAAATTAGAAAATAAAGGTTCCAGTTCTCTAGAATACATTCATCTACAAAATCAGGCAAGATTTTAAGAATTTCATTCAAAAACACTAAGTGCAATGTGCTACGTTACACTCTGATGCCATAAGAGGACGAGCTGCGAGCCATCAAGTAAAAACAGACTCTTTAAAAAAGAGAATTGAATAAGCTTTCTCTATATTATAAAGAGGTACCTAACCATGATTCGGGTAGAAGATGGAAGGCAGAGAAGAGTTGAATGAGTCATAGTTCTTAATTAAATAGTCACCTACTCTACAAATTAATATAACCATAGCAAGAACAGACCAATTTATATATAGCACACTCTGTCTCCCTCCCATACCACGTGAATGGTAGCCTTGAGGGGGAACTCTGCAGTGATGGAAATGTACTTTATCTTGATTTGTGTGATGGTTATGCAAGCATAATACAATTGCTAATAAAATTAAGTACTTAAAAACTGTAAGTTTTATTCTGTGTTAATTATACCATTAAAAAAATGGCTCATTAAAAAAGTGCTCCCTACTTTTCTCACTGGAAAATGTGACAATTTAAAAGTAGCATAACCAAATCTATATTCATTTAAAAATGGTCTGATCCAACTGAAAATATTTTGGGAAAGGTATTCTTTTAACTTTTCAGTGACAGGTGATACAAAAGAAATTCTTTGATCACAGACTACTAGAATCCCCCATGTTCTATTTTCTGAAGAATCCAGGAACGGACATGCACTTTTAGCCACATTTCTTTCACCTGTTGGTCAAAATTTATGTTACAGAATTGTCAGTGGGAAATTTGCTTGTTTCACTGCTTGTCTTATGAATGGTAGAAAAAGGCTTGGGAGAAAAATAGTACAAACATCACAGAGTTTTTAAACTAGAAACCCCAAAACTAGCTTCTAGCTCTAGGATTAAAATGTGCAGGGCAACTTTGGAGAAGTCACTTAAGTATTCTGTGCCTGTGATATTCTGGTATTATAGGACTGTCATAAGAATAAGGTATTAATTTGTGAAAGCACTTTGAAAAGTCAAAGCAATGTATTATTCTAAAGTGGCACTGGTGATATGATACTATGGTCATAGTCAAACCCCAAACTTAATCCTGAGATTTATACGTTCTTAGAGAACACCAAAAGACATCTCATTTGAACTAGAACATAACGTTCAAAGTAGGGGAAACAGGTAGGTTAACCCCTCCCCTCAAAAGGGATGGGAGAATAATGTCTCTTCCACTACTAAACTTCCAGAACTCTAGACTTCTGCGATTTGATATTCCAAGACACTTGGTATAATCCGATAAAATTTAAAAGGGGGATGGAGAATAAGGCCTGGATTAAGACAAATACTGTTCCTAGTCCTGTCAACCATCAAAGGGAAGATGAATTGCTCCTGTGGTACGGAGAGCTTAATTCCTAAAATATGCTAAGTGTTAGACAAGCCATCAGCAAGCATTTACTGCATTCCTTCACAAATCTTTAGCACACACCTCAACGCCTCCCTCAAACTGCGTCCATCCCAGGCACAAGCGAGAGCAAGGCCCAGATGTCTTATGATCATCCATCACAACTCCCTCCCCCTTCCACTCCAGGTCAGCAGCCTCCGGCCATCCCACCCTTTTCCTGACCTCCCATCCCCAGGGCCGCCAGCCTCACCAGCTGTTCCCGGCGGCTGGAGCTCCGATCGGTTGGTGCCCGGCGGCCCCGAACATTAACGACACCCAGGAGCCTGGCCTCAAGGCTCAGGCCCGAGAACAGATTCCAAATTCTACAGCACCGGCCACTGGCAAAGGGTAGTTCAGCATTTTGAGATGAGCTTCCGGAAGCAGACTGGAGGCGGAAACCGGATGCCCGGAGCAACCATTTCCCCTACTGTTTTCCCCTCCTATAATCGCCTCTTTTTACTCACAGAAAAGATAAAGGCCAATAAACTAAACTTTCTGATACGCAAAAATTTCTTGTTTCTCTTTCTAGTATCCTTGAAGACGATACAGAGTGCAAGAAAAGAGGAGTGAACGGAAAGTCGCACCCCCGGGGCTAGACTGTGCTGTCGCCCAGTTGCCATGGAGACCGATAGCAACACCGGCCGCGGACTGGGGGCCGAGAGGCCATGGCCACGTTAGCCCGGCTGCAAGGTCGGTCTTCGTTTGTAGGAAGTCAGTACTACTTTAGGAACAGGTAAGTCGTGAAGAGAGGGATCGCGAAAAGGGCCGGCTGGCTTTGGCCGGTTGTTTCTCGGCGGGAGTTGCCTAGTTCATGAGGAGAACCCAGTTGTGCCCCAGTGGGCCGCAACCATAATCAGAAGTTTCAAAGTAGAGTTACCGTGCAGGGTGATTATAGATGGAGGGCGGCCATGCACGCGCAGCTTGACATGGTGTGAGGGAAAGCCCAGCATCGATAAAATTACAAAGTGAACTGTTTTTTCTTCGACATCATCACTCCGCAACGTGATGAAACCCATGTTCTCCCTGTGGAAGAGTGAATGGCCTGCCTGGGGTCACCCGGGCCCTCTAGCTCGCTGTGTCCCCCATCACCTAGCGGTGAGTCGCCCTTATTTCACAGACAGCATTGAACTCAATTATTCTGTGATTCATTGTCTTCTTAAAGTGAACGTATCTAAACCATTGTAACATAATTAGTACACATGATTAATAGAAGGCCCTCTAGCTCGCTGTGTCCCCCATCACCTAGCGGTGAGTCGCCCTTATTTCACAGACAGCATTGAACTCAATTATTCTGTGATTCATGTCTTCTTAAAGTGAACGTATCTAAACCATTGTAACATAATTAGTACACATGATTAATAGAAGAGGGCAAAGAAAGACTCTAGCAGCCTTCCCCATCTCCCTACTCCCAAACTTCTCACCCAGGAAGGGGTTCATTTTAACTGGCCTTCTGGAAGCATTGACCCAGGAGTTTTACCGACATGAGAGAAACTGGAAAAAAAAAGAAAAGAAAAGAAAAGAAAGAATTAGGCTATGATAAGACACAATGGAAAGTTTGTCAATAAGACAGGAACTTGTTGAGCCATTCGTATTCTAACAATTATTTCACCTACTACATTGTTATTTCACCAAGTACTTCTCTTACAACACGAATCATGATTCAATTTTACATTCTTATGTGAGATAATATGTATCTCCCCTCCTAAACTAGAAGCAGAGACAGTGCCTTTTTTTTTTTTTTTTTGACTACTTCATTCTCCAATGTCTATCATAGTTTCTGACACATAATAGCTACACAATGATTTGTTGAATAATCACATTAATGAATCTTTCTACCAATCATTGGTCCTGGTTAAGTAAACCTACTAAAAATAGCTAAAGATATAAATTATTTATTTAGCATTTATTTACAGTATGTGGCATGCCCTGTATTTATTTATAACATACATATATAAATGATATAATCTCCATCCCTCATGATGTTCACGGCCTAGTATGGAATATAAGCATTTGAAAAATAATTGTGATAGAGTAAAATGAACAGGAAGAGAAAAGACTAACATTTCTTGAGCATTGATTATATAGGAGGCATTGCACTAGGAACTTTACCATGTGGTATTTCATTTTGTTTCCACAATGTTACAAGTAAATGTATTAATCCATATTTTTAGAGCTCTAGAGAGTGTTATAGAAAAGCCTGGTGAAGTAATGCAAAACAGCAAATGATATAATTTCCCTTTACAGATTTCACTGAAATTTTTTGTTCCTATTGCATGGCTTTAGACAATGGGCACATTTCCCCAAACATGTAGATTGGACCAATGGCTAATACTACACAAAGACTATGATGAAAATAATCTGGCATTCTGAACATTTTATTTATTAGTATTATTAATAATATTTTCAGAGTGAAGGAGTGTCTCTTAAGTTCATGAAGGAATCAAGACTCTGAATTTGCCTAGTTAAAAAAAACATTTTATATGATAGCTTTGTGGAAAAAATCATATAAAATATTAATACGTGGAAGAGTAAATAGGCAATTTCCTTGAGAAATTTTTATTGTCATTCTCCATCTGTNCGCAACGTGATGAAACCCATGTTCTCCCTGTGGAAGAGTGAATGGCCTGCCTGGGGTCACCCGGGCCCTCTAGCTCGCTGTGTCCCCCATCACCTAGCGGTGAGTCGCCCTTATTTCACAGACAGCATTGAACTCAATTATTCTGTGATTCATTGTCTTCTTAAAGTGAACGTATCTAAACCATTGTAACATAATTAGTACACATGATTAATAGAAGAGGGCAAAGAAAGACTCTAGCAGCCTTCCCCATCTCCCTACTCCCAAACTTCTCACCCAGGAAGGGGTTCATTTTAACTGGCCTTCTGGAAGCATTGACCCAGGAGTTTTACCGACATGAGAGAAACTGGAAAAAAAAAGAAAAGAAAAGAAAAGAAAGAATTAGGCTATGATAAGACACAATGGAAAGTTTGTCAATAAGACAGGAACTTGTTGAGCCATTCGTATTCTAACAATTATTTCACCTACTACATTGTTATTTCACCAAGTACTTCTCTTACAACACGAATCATGATTCAATTTTACATTCTTATGTGAGATAATATGTATCTCCCCTCCTAAACTAGAAGCAGAGACAGTGCCTTTTTTTTTTTTTTTTTGACTACTTCATTCTCCAATGTCTATCATAGTTTCTGACACATAATAGCTACACAATGATTTGTTGAATAATCACATTAATGAATCTTTCTACCAATCATTGGTCCTGGTTAAGTAAACCTACTAAAAATAGCTAAAGATATAAATTATTTATTTAGCATTTATTTACAGTATGTGGCATGCCCTGTATTTATTTATAACATACATATATAAATGATATAATCTCCATCCCTCATGATGTTCACGGCCTAGTATGGAATATAAGCATTTGAAAAATAATTGTGATAGAGTAAAATGAACAGGAAGAGAAAAGACTAACATTTCTTGAGCATTGATTATATAGGAGGCATTGCACTAGGAACTTTACCATGTGGTATTTCATTTTGTTTCCACAATGTTACAAGTAAATGTATTAATCCATATTTTTAGAGCTCTAGAGAGTGTTATAGAAAAGCCTGGTGAAGTAATGCAAAACAGCAAATGATATAATTTCCCTTTACAGATTTCACTGAAATTTTTTGTTCCTATTGCATGGCTTTAGACAATGGGCACATTTCCCCAAACATGTAGATTGGACCAATGGCTAATACTACACAAAGACTATGATGAAAATAATCTGGCATTCTGAACATTTTATTTATTAGTATTATTAATAATATTTTCAGAGTGAAGGAGTGTCTCTTAAGTTCATGAAGGAATCAAGACTCTGAATTTGCCTAGTTAAAAAAAACATTTTATATGATAGCTTTGTGGAAAAAATCATATAAAATATTAATACGTGGAAGAGTAAATAGGCAATTTCCTTGAGAAATTTTTATTGTCATTCTCCATCTGTTATTGACTAGATCAGTTCCTTCCAATCTTTAATGTGCAGTAGAATCACCTAGAGAACTTGTTAAAAATGCAGATTCTGATTCAGTGTGTCTCAAGGCCAGAGAATCTGCATTTCATGTGAGGTCCACTTTGCATAAAAAGGATGACTTTGTAGAGAAGGACCTGTGTATGGGCCTAACATTTAATTTAATTCTTTTTTTTTGACCAGTAAAGGGATCACAACCCTCTGCAAGGTGTTGTCTGCACCACGCTCAGCCAGTGAGCGCACTGGCCATCCCTATATAGGATCCGAACCCACAGCCTCAGCGCTCCCAGCGCCATACTTTCCCAAATGAGCCATGGGGCCAGCCCATAATTCTTAAACATTCTTATGAATTATATTTATTTTCTTTTACGTGAGGCAAGGAAAATGAGATTCAGTTAGGTTGGGTAATTTGTGTAAAGTCACACAACTACTAAGTACCAAAGCCAAGTAATGTAACTCTAAACCCTATGCTGTTCACTACCACTAGACAAGATTTTTTTCCCACCAAACTGGTCTGATTGATTAAGAGTCACTAAGCACCAAGATCCAGAAACCCAAATAGTTTGAGTAAACTGTTCCAAATCCATTAATATGTAGGGGACAGAGTTGAAGAATATTTTAATTCTCCTTGGTTTCATTCAATGTCTTCCTTGTTGGTAACAGGGTAGTAACAAAATATTTCTACCTAACGGCTGGCATCAGAATGACCCTGAAGTTGAAAGATGCCTTTATGGGAAAATACATTACCAAGTGCTTAGATTAGCATTTGAGTCCTCCAAGGCCTGGAAGTTGACCTAGGAAAATTGAAGCTCCTCTGCTTTACAAAGAGGAAATACTTGTAAGTCCAAGAAGTGAGCAGCAAGTATGGGAGGATATGCAATGAGAGAGCTGGAGGAATTGGAGGAGTGTTGTCTGACCAACCTGAATCCTCTGGAAAGTTGCTCCCACCGGTACTGTCTGGTGTGCATTTATGTTTTAGCCTACCCATCAAAGAGGCTTAATATTGTGTCTAGGACATTACAGGGTCAAAAAAAGATAGTACCCAATTGTAATTTTACAGAGTATTGGGCTTTTTTGTTTGTTTTTTGTTTTTTAACTTTCACTAGTAACTCCTAGCTTCATTTGTATTCTTCTGAATTATTGAGATTTTTCTTTTTGACTTACTGTTCATTTATACTATCCTTTTTGCGGAAAGAAGAGGTTAGTATATGTTCATTAATCCTATTATTTATTTTCTCTATATTCTTATTTAAATTTTGGTTAATCAGTCAAATTTTAACAGGAATGAGTTAAAATTTCCCTTCTCCACTGTGTTTCTATAGTGGTTTTTTTGTTATATTATTTAGC